GAGAGAGAGAGAGAGAGAGAGAGAGAGAGAGAGAGAGAGAGAGAGAGAGAGAGAGAGAGAGAGAGAGAGAGAGAGAGAGAGAGAGAGAATAGACATATCCAGAGCACGGGTGCTCAGAGCCACAGCTAATAGCATAGGAAGAGGGTAAGGTTGAGGGTTATCCAGACCTGTGTGGTGAGAAAGAATGAGAAGGTTGCCTGACTTACCTGTCGCTGCCAGTTATGATGAGACTGCGGCCTGCTCCTAGAGACTGGCAGTGGATGAGCACCAACCTCCGTAGCTGAGCTTCATGCTGGAGGTTGGGCACTTCCGTGCAGGGTGACTGCTGCAGAGAGACTTCATCGGTGACAACAGTAGTGAGATAGGATTTCTGGCACGTCAACTGGGAGTGGTCCTGAAGCTGAAGGGGGAGTGAAAGAGCCGATTTGGCCTGGATACTTCTATTCATTATTTACTATTAAAGCTTCCCTGCTACTCTCCACGTCTTCTCTAGCTTTGCCTTATTTCTGGATGCTTGTCATTGCCATGTGAGACAAATTTGCATGAGTGTGACTACATGAATGCTTCTAATGTTGTTGTCTTCCCTGGAGTTCGGGTCCATTACAATTAAGTATCAATCTATCAGAGTATATTCCTCTTACCTCGCTCATGTTGATGATGCTTCCGGGGTGATCAGCTGTGGAGGTGGAAGTGCGGCATTGGAGATCTTATTGCGAGTTGGTATGGCAAGAAAATTGGGTGACACAGTGTTGTGTGACGAGGGACTGGCTCGTGGGAGTACTCACCTTGCGCGCTGTGAGACCAAGCTGGTGGTACAGGTGAGTTACCAGTACTGCCCTATGTCTGGTAGTGCGCCTGTGTAACCGTGCACTTCAGTGAGTGCAGCGCTGAATGGGAGATTGATTGCACTGCATCTGCAAAATATTATGCTGGTTGGAATTCTGGATATGGCCTTACCTTGTGTGCATAATATCTCACTCGCCGCGGTATAGATCTTGTCCTTCTGTAGCAGTCTAGCTGGTTGTCCCAGTTAGACAGCATTGCCAGTACAGTACTAAGAAATTCTTTAGTGTTATTTGTTGGTTCCTTTGAAAGAAATTGTTTATTAATTTTCTTTAACTTTTCACAAAGTAGCCTGAACAGAAAGGAATACAACTGGTTTAAGGATGATCTCCAGGAACCGCCATATGAGGACGAGAATGGGGACCAGGAGCTTGGACTACCATAAGCCGCGGGAAGGAGGAGCGGTCTGCAGAAGAGAAGGCAAAGGGAGGGATCCTCAGAACCAGTCAAAATAAGTCTAACCTTGCAAGGACAGGACTGAGATACAAACGGGGCTAGGACAAAAGAGAGGGAGCAGCAGGGAAGGGACGTACAGCCAGTTCAGAAGGAGAAAGATGTCAAATACTGAAGGGGGAGAATAAGGGATAAGGGACACCAATTAAAGCGTCAGGGGAGGAAGCAGGGTTTAGGGTTTAGGGTTTTACAACACTTAAAAGGCAGAGAAAGGGGTTTTGGGGAACAGGGGAGAACACAGCTTTTGTGAAGGATTGGTAAAAAGAGGAAGGTAGGTCACACGGCAGCAAGGGAGGTTCTCTTCCTAGGTTTAACAGGGATTTCTGGCAGAGCTGTTAGGGCAGATCTGAGACTCAAGGTAAGCTGACAGTCAATCCTCCACCAAGGGTGGAGTAATCAATGCTGTTCAGGGGTCCTCCGGCCGGACGGGAGGAAGCGTGTGTTCTTATTCTTTAATGTATTATGCTGTGACTTGCCGGTGGAATAGGAACCGGACTGACGCTCCCCAGAATAGAAGGAGCTGGGTCCATAAGGACCTATTTGTGAAAAAGAAAAAAAAAAAGAAAAAAAAAAAAGGAATACAACTGACCCAGCCTCTGTGGCTGAATGGTATACTGATGAACTGTTGATATGCAGATCTGAGATCGAACCCTCATGTCATCAGTTGAATGAAATAACCTAGGGCCAGCCAGTTCAATGATGATACCTCAAGGCTTTCAACCTTTGAAGTTAAAAAAAGGGAAGAAATACAACTGAGGTTGTAGAACTTGACCACCGTTGAGTTCACAAAGCGGTTCGTTGTGCAGCATGCTCAGTTTCCATCATGGCCTATTTCCTGACCTGGTTATAACCGTTATATGCTTCTGGGCTCACCAGGTTTATTGCCCATTTTTTGTTCCCTCTGTGTTACATTTTGCTGGCCAGAGGAGACAATGACATAAGAACCAGGGCGGAAGCTGAGGCAAGAAAAGAAAAAGAGTCGGAGGCCCTGAGTGAAATGACCAAGAAATGCAGCTAGCATGTGCAGAGGCTCAACAGGTTGTGTATCAGTCTGGTTTATGTAAGTGACAATGAATGCTCCCAAAACAGTCGTTAGATGTCATTGCGAGGCTCAAGGCCTCGATCTGCCCTACTGGACCCTATTTTCTGTACGGTCGGCCGCCTTAAGTGAAGGCAGGCTCGACCCAGGGCCTACAGGCCTAATTTTGGGGTCACCGCACAACTGGGTAAATTCAGCCAGTTGCGCAGCGCCAGTTGGTTGAGAGAGCCCAGGCCCAGGCTGCCTCTTTCGAAGGTAACTGAGGCAGGCCCTGGGCCAGATTCGCAACATGGACCGAACACAGGCCGGGGGCAGTTGGACACAGGCAACCACCACAGGCCCAGGGCCTGTTTCGTTTGGACTGGGGCTCAGCCTCTCTGGGCCTCCCAGAAGCTTCTGGGCAGGGGCCCAGCGCAGCCAAGCTGCACGCAAGGCAGGCAGGCTACTTCCATTTAGGAAAGTGCCTGCCCACGCATTCGGCATTCGGGCACTGGCTGCATGCTGCGCAAGCGCTGCTGCACTAACGCTGGCCAGCGCTCACGCGGTCATGGGCGAGCTGGAAGGAGCAGGCAGCCATAGCCGAGCTGTGCTGCTGTAAGCTGGATGGGGCGCATGGTGATCCTTGGGTGCATGTGGCATCTGTGAGTTGGGGATCGAGGTTATGAGTGAGGCGAGAGACATACCTGGTGCTTGAGGCGAACGGCATTGGCCGAGGTCTGCTCGTACTTCGGGGAGCTGTTGACGTCATCAGCGGCATTGTAGATAGGCTAGATAGGATCTGCCATTTGTAGTCTGGGCGCCGAGCGCCAGATAGGATGTCGACATTGGTTCTTTGTTGATGATGATGAGACTATTCGAACATTGTCACTTATGAGCTTTTGCTGTGCTCTTATTTGGTGGGACGCGTGATGCAATTCTGCTTTTGGTTCGAGGTCACAACTATCTGGTCTCATGTTTATGATGCTGTTTGGTTTCTGAAGTTCGCTATCGCTCATTTTCCTTGCATCATGTCCACAAGTAGGGAATTGGCAGTGGTTATGGACCATGCCCGTTTGAATTTGAACAACTATATAGGAACGAAGTTGGAACAAATCACTGCAGAAGCAGTGAAGAACCAGACACAGAAATGGAGGAAGAACAAGAGAATATAAGTTCACAAAGACAGGAAACAGAAGAAGTATACACTCTTCAAGGGGAGTTCGATGGTCACTGCTAGCCTCTCACACGAGAACTGTGATCCCCTGTCCTGTAATCATCCCCCCCACCCCCTGATTACTTGCCCAGCATGCCGTTGTGGCCTTGATCTGCCATGCTTAAATAAATGTGCACGTCAGCCTTCCATACTAATGACATGTCAGCAACATGCCATGTGTCCTCGATGCTTCCAGGAAGCTGTCATAGAAAGTATGTGTCTTTACTGCGTGGACTATCCCCGGTGCCATCACCCTCCACATCCTCTCCTAGCATGTCCCGCATGCGGTGTTGGTCATGCACCTACAGCAACCGATGACAGATCTCCCTCTTTCTTTCCAGACAAACGACGGACACAGCAGTCCAAGGACGAAAATAGACTTCTATATGAACCACCAGCAGAGCGATGTGCTCATAGTTCATCACCACCAGGGCAAGTTGTTGCGGACCAAATCCTGCAGCAGCTGAACGCCCTTGCTTTGGAGAAGTTTGGACCGATCCTCCCTGTCGTCGTCTGCCCATAGAGAAGGAATAAATACAGAGGAAGCCCAAGAAAGATGTTCCATGCCACTTTGTGATGACCCTCCGGAGATTCAACTAGCATGTGGTTCGCATGCCTTGTGTCGTGAGGATTGTGAAGAGATAGTCCATGCGAGTTTTTGCTTCCATACGTACGCCGACAGTCAGTATACTCATGTACGGCACCCTGACATGTCATGTCCAATTTGTAGACGGGCAGGAACGGCAATGCCTCTATAATTGCGGTCGACGTGCCTCTGTGTTCCTAGCATATAGGAGCCATGTAGCCTGTGACATCTGTCTGCGCCGCGCCATTTGATGCAGCAACTGTGACTGCGAAAATTGGATGTGGTGCTTCCATAGTCCACACCCAAGCCGGTCCTGTCCGGTCTGTAGGGGTGGCCACTTGCCATAGGCATTAACTGCTCCTCAACCCAACAAAAACAAAATTGCAACCCTGTGCCATTCTAGAGTAGTCTGTTCCAGCGGTGAATGTTTAGAACTATCCCTTTCCCTCCACCCTCCCCTCTACTCCCTTTGTGCTACTAACAAATACATATGAATGAGCATCGTTAAGAGAACAGACAATATGAAGATCAGAAATGAAATGAACAGTAAGTATGAAGATGAAGGACGGACACAAAGACCAAGTATAAGCTGAAGATCTGAAGTGAAATGAGCTGCAGTATGAAGGCCTGAAGAAAAATGCACAGTAGCATACCTTCCCTTTTACTCTGCCTCCTGAAATAAGGTGCAAGTGGGCCGTGAAGGCACAATGGGATGTGGGCAGCTGCCGCGCAACCACAATCAATGTGGGCAGTCTTGTACGTAAAAGGCACAGTAAAAGGGGAGCTGCAAGAACAAATGGAAGGGGTACCCCAAGGACAACAAGGACAACCAAAAAACTGTCTAATTATAAAATTGCTTTAATATGTTGAACTGTCTCATCTCAAATGCTCTCGTTGTCTGCAATAGGACAAAGACTGCTTTGATTCTGAATCTATTCATCTGGGTGGAATTGGGGCTGTTGTGGGGAAAATCTAACACACACACACACACACACAAACTTTTTTTTGTTTTTGTTTTTATCAAAACAGATCCTTATGGTCCTGGCTCCATATCCATTCTGGGGAGCGTCAGTCCGGTTCCTTTCCACCGGCAAGTCAAAAACTTGGCATGCATGGTGAACACTCTCACGCTTCCTTCCGTCTTGTCCGAAGGATCTCTGCCCAGCATTGATTGCTCCTGTTTAGGAGGATTGACTGTCAGCTTGCCCTAGCCAAGTTTTCCTCTCAGAAACCCTTCTGGATCTGTCAAATATATCACAAAGAACAAGAAAAATTGGGAGAGTCGTATATCTTGTTGAGACTAAAGTCTCAATTTGCCCTTCATGGGATTGCATTCCTTGTCGTCTTTGCATTGTGCCATTTCTTTCAGGTCAGTTTGTTGTCTGTCACTGTTGCAATCTTTCCCTGAAGTAGCCAGTCCCTCAGGAATACGCATCTCCTGAGTGTGAGCCTTTCTGGTCTACCTTTCGTGGCTGTCGTCATCCTCCATCTGCTTCGAATCTCTGTTTCAGCCATCCTCAACAGTAGGGTCCACATTTCGTCCCTTGGCACTTCTGATCCCTCGATTGTCTTGGCGCACCTCCTTTTCCAGATGGCCCACAGGGCCACTTTCCTGAGCAGGTGGAACCAGACCTCCTTGCTGCCTCTGAGACTGTTGGGGGTGTTAGATAGGAGTAGGATATTCTGAGGAGTGGTCGCGGGGGGCAGTGATGAGAAGAGGAAGAACCATATGTCTCGGACCTTGTTCCATATCCAGGCTGCTTCAGTGCAGTAAAGGAGGGAGTGGGGTATGTCTTCTGGCCTGTTGTCGTTGCACAGTACGCATAGTTCCGAGCTGCCGAGGTCTGTTTGGTTTGTCCTCTTGTGGAGACACTGGTTGACAGGCAGAGCTGTGTGGGCTACGAGCCACTGCATGCTTCGAATTCTAACTGGTCGGATGGGCAAGTACTTTGTCCAAGGGATGGAAGTCCGTCGGCTCTAGGTTCAGGGTCTCTCTCCATCTTTCGTTTAGTTTGGGGTCGGGGTCTGCGGTCTGTGGGCCTAGATCATATCCGAATTTTACATCATATCCGAATATCGTTCTCGTTCTCCTGGCCTTGTACTGTTTCCAGATCCACTCTTTCGGGTCGAATTCAAGGTCTGAGATGCTGAGGTCGGGATGGAAGATTGTCCAGGGTTTGGCCTTTGATACCCTCACTTTTCTCAGTAGGAACGATTCTACCATCTTGCACTGGGGTTCCTTGTTGAGGATTTCCATCTCCTGGATGTTGCGTTTTATGATAGAATAAGAGAAGATTTTGGGGAGGTGGCTGGATGCAATGGTGCGGGAGATGGACCGATATGCTCTGTTGGGCGGGATTTGGGATATGAGTATACCCCAGTCCCCCGATTTCCATGAGAAGTCGTCTCTTAGTAGGGGGAGCCACTGTGGGGGATGCTCTACTGAATTTGAGCTAGATAATCTGCAAGGGGGTGGCAACCTCTTAATGTTGTTTGAAGCTCTTGTTCAGTTAGCCAGCCTCCCCGCTCTTCTGCCCAAGGATGTTTTACCTGCCACACTCCTTTTTCCACCCAGGATAGCCATCTCCTGTCTTTTGTGCGTAATGACCAGGGTGTACCATCCGGGTCTTTGATCCAGGGATTGCAGAATATAGGTTGTCACAAGGCCTCTTCTCTGTTTTCTGGTGCTCCGTGCTTGCTCAACATCATTCGCCCCCAGGCCTTCAAGGTGGGAGTCCAGTATGGGTTTGGCATTGGGGTAGTGCGTTTGTCTGACTCAGCTGGGGCTCTTCTACACGGTCTGCCTGTTTTGATTGTCCAGTGTTTAGCCATTATCCAGAAGTGGCCTCTGATGTTAGGGGGGGGAGCTAATCGGTGCTTGATTTCTTATACTGTCTAGGGCCATCTTGGCCCATGGTAGGGACTGTATGGTCAGGATCTTGATAATCCATTTCATCTACAGTGCTATTGACTTTTGTTTGGGGTCCATTAGGCCCAGACCACCATCCTGCGGTTTTCTGGTGATGTGACTCCAGGCTACCCTGTTGATGCGTGTGGTTCTGTTCGGGTCTCCGGTCCAAACATAGCATCTTGCCCTGGCCTTTCAAGTTTTGAAATCGTCATCACGGAAGGACCAGATGGATGGCATGTACCATAGTGTGGAAAAGATTGCCGTGTTTAAAAATAGTGCTCTTCCAATTAGCGATGCCTGTGCATTCTTGCAAGGGGCCAGGCGAGTTATTGCCCTAGCGATTAAGTTCAGACCCATTCCTGGCCATACGCCGTCCTTGTTCACCATGATGCCAAGTATCAGAGTGCCTGTTCACCGGTGGACCACGACATGGGCGTGGTTGTGCCATCAGGTTGGGGGGGGATGTCGTCTGATATCGACCATCCTTCGGTTTTGCCCCAGTTGACCTTCATTTCTGATGCTAATCGGAAGGCCTCCATTGCTCTTATGAGGGTTTGGAAGGAGCAGTTGTTGGCGCGAATGAGGACCGTGAGGATGTCAGCGAACATCAGTGCAGTGGGTAGAGCGAAGTCATGTAGTGGGTTGTAGTTGTGCTCTGCAAGGCGGTCAATAGATGGGTCCTTCCAAAGGAACGGTGCGATGGCTTCCATAATAAAAAGGAAGATAGGGGGAGCCAACGGGTCACCTTGTCGTACGGACGACCTTGAGATCGGGTAGGCTTTTGATAGGATTCTATTGACCTGAATGCTGCCGGTTGTGTCGAAGTATAAAACTCTGACCCAATCCCTAAAGTTGGGGCCCACCCCCATTTTGTCCATGCAGGCGTGCAAAAAATCCAAGAGAACCTGATCGAAGGCCTTCTCGAAGTCGAAGAACAGGATTGTTGCCTTCATTCGTTTTTCTGTGATCTTCTTTGTAGCCTCGTTCATTGTCATCACGTTGTCTAGTATGTACCAGCCTGGAATGAAGCCTGCTTGATTAATGTGAAAGCACTTGTCACTCGGTTTTGTATTCCTGTTTGCCAGTACTTTAGCGAGGATTTTGTAGGGGGCGGTGAGTAGAGATATAAATCTGCAGTTTTTCAGGTTTTCTTTGTCTCCTAACACCACGCTGGTGCTCAGTTCTTGTCCTAGGCCGCCCTTCAGTCTGCTGTCATTGAAAAACTCGAGAAGGTCTTCCCCTAGTGTCAGCCAGAAATAAGTCCAAAACTCTTTCGAGAGGCCGCCGGTGCTTGGTGCCTTGTCATTTCCCATCTGGGTCAGGGCTGCTTGCAGTTCGGCCAGGGTGATTGGTTTGTCTAGGCCTTCCGCTTGGACCGTTGAGATCGTTATGTCGAGGTAGGACAGCATGTGTTGGCGGACTGCTAAGTTTGTTGTGGTCGGGGGTGAGGGCGTTTTCGACTTGTATACGTCTGCGTAGAAAGCTCTTGCTATCCCGACCATCTCTGAGCCAGCTGATTTGACCCTTCCTTGATTTGTTGGGTCCTTTAGCCCCTCTATCATATTGTTCCTGGCATTGGCTTTGATTTTTCAGAAAACAAATTTGGTCATGGATTCATTGAGTGTGTAATCTGTCATCCAGGCGCGCAATTGCAGACCTCTCAATTCCCATCTTCTCCAGTGGTTCAGTTCTTCTTTGGTTAAGGTGAGTAGCTCCTGGTAGAACTCACTGGAGGGATCCTCTGTGAGGTTGGATTTTGTGACTGCGATCCCAGATTGTGAGGCTTACTCTCGCGGAGAACACAATGTGCAAAACAGAGCTCAAGCATCAACTAAATGCTACAGCATCGTCCTTGAGCCTCATCCACTCAGGCAAAATTCAAAGAGGAACCACTAAGTCAGAAGGATTTTGCATTCATCCTACAGATATTCCTTTCCAAAGTAGCCAAAATGTCAACACTGGAAGAATCTGGGCAAGACATGAGTTTGCAAGTCTGGACGAAACAATAAAAGGGAAAGAAAAAGTTGCGGAAGAAGAGGAAGAATCGGCCCCATGTTAATTCAGAGTTGTTTTATACTCCAACTGATTCCATCTGGATTTGAACAAAGGTCTGTAGTTCAGCAGTTCATGGGTGTACTAGCTGGGCCAGTACATTCTTGCCAGACCTTGTGTATTCTCCATATTCAAATGGCATGGCCTAGTTGAGACCTTTATCATTCTCTCTTCTTTTGCCTTTCCAGAAATATTCTAATAGCATCTGGATTCGAACTTGGGTCTGTATTTCAATAGTTCATTGGTGTACCAACTGAGCTTGGCCCGTTGGCATTCTCGTTCTTTTCACAAAAAGTGGACTGATTTTTTCGAGTTGTTATTTTCATGGTAATATCAGCCTTGGGCACTGGGCCCGTTTTTTCAATTAAAAAAAAAAAAAAAAAAAAAAAAAAAAAAAGAAGAAGAAGAAAGAAAGTAAAGAAAGGAAGAAAAGGAGGAGAACAGAAAGATCCCAGGTCCAGCCCCGCAGATCCCGGTGGAGTTTCTCGAAGGCCCAGTGATCCGGAAAAAGAAAAGAAAAGGGAGAAGGTCAAAATGAAAATCCATGCTACCTATAGTGGGAAAAGAGAAGAGAACTTACCACTTTGGAGTGTTGAAGTGCAGCCATACTGCTGAATTACGCCAGCTCGGCCTGAGAGCCAGGTGGCTTTGACCACCTCATGCCTTGGAGAAGAGGCTAAGGCCTGGGTTCTGACTGAGGTCAATGCTGCTGGTTATGGGTTATGGTGCTGATCCTGGAGAACGGGCTGAGAAACAAAATAGGACTTGTC